CCAATTTGGTCACGTGTGCTGTTACGGGTATGAGGGCGGTTGTCACTTGTCCCGGCTGCCCACACTGTGGAAGGTTGTTTCTTGAGGAACCTGAAAATGAAGATAGATTAGTGTTCTCCAATCGACCTACCTGGCATGGTAGGACCTTCAGGAACATGAGGTCCAGCCAATATAGCTCGGTTGGGTCACCACGATAGTCAAGCCCGACCACCACGTCAAGGTAGCAGCTTCGGTCGTTTGGTAGATGTAGACTACCTTGTTATGGTCCGCGAGACGAAAGTCACCAATGGTTAGAGACCTTGAATGACATGGCTCAAAATCGTTTGCAATGGCATAAGTGCATCCATTCTTTGAGCTCTCTCAAATTCTAATCTTCTGGATTCGTCAACACCTCTACCTTTGTATTTCTAACCTTATCTCACTGAATTATACTTCTTGAATAATATCTTCGAACCCTAGTCTTCTTCATTACCATTAATACCTCTACTATCTTTATCACTACGGGATTTAATTTGACATCTGCGTCTCTGTGCTAATGTGGTATGGCAACATGAACTCATGTACATACGTACGAAGTTCTACGTTGCAACTGACTGACTGACTGACTAGGTGCCCATTTGTACTAATCTTTATGTGTTTAAATAAATACTTATGTACGTACGTCCGCCGTTCTAAGTTGCAACTGACTGACTCCAGATGGCATACCACGGTAGTACACAGAGATGGAGTTATCGATTTTATGTCTTATAGTAGTAGATGTAGTAGAAGTATTAGCTGTAGTGAGGCAGATTAGTGTATGGAGATAGAACTAAAAAACATTGAGGTGATGGGGAATTCAGAGGATTTGTGTGGTGCGCGCTACTTATAAGTAGTATATGACGCGAGTGAAACGTAATGTCTGGCAGCCGAAGATGAGGGAAGATCAAGAAAGGAAGAAGAGTGGGAACACAATGGAATTTGTATGAAACGCATGAATAGTGAAATATCAGACAATGGATGGAAGATTTGCAAATTAACGGTTACGATATGGTTTTCCTATTTTACTGAGTAACACTGTAATTTGCGATAAATACAATTCGGTTGCCCTCACCTGTGTTCTCCTTCACTACATTTGAATTTGAGCGCAGGCTAAGAATGAATACTTTCGCAAGGAATCTATAGCCATGTTGTTCAAACTCTCTAACTATCGGTTACCTGGTAGTCTACATTGACGAGCATGGCTCAGTCTAGTTGTCAATGAATCTGTGGATTCGTGTCAAGTTTTGGTTTAGTCATCCTTTGCTTTCTTTCAGTCTACTTCTACATCATTCAATATTTCCCGTCGGTGGTTGGGCATTTGTAACCGTTCGGGATGTTAGACCCTCAGTGTGGTGCGCGCTATTTATAAGTAGTATATGACGCGAGTAAAAACGTAATGTCTGGCAGTAAAAGATGGGGGAAGATCAAGAAAGGAAGAGTGGGAACACAATGGAATTTGTATGAAACGGATGAATAAGTGAAATGTCAGCCAATAGGTTGATGATGGATTGAAGATTTGCAAATTAACGGTTACGATATGGTTTTCCTATTTTACTGAGTAACTCTGTAATTTTTGGTAAATACAATCCAGTTGCCCCACCTGTGTTCTCCTTCACTACACTCAGAACTCGCTTGATAAATGCATTATTTTGGATTTCACGTTTGCTAGCATGGACTGGTCAGTTGACCTTCAGATTTCACTTCTCACCAGGAAAGTCCTTAACTGTGATTGGCTGCTGTGTATTTAGGTGTGCTGTTTTCTTGACTGTCCCATGGACGTTTCTCTGATGTATAAATAAACGAGAGTTGTGTGCTTGATTGCATTGTGATTACTGAGTGTTTGTAGAATATACTTTCTATGCTACATTAAGACTTCTGTTTAGCCGTTTCGGATCAGAGTAGCCTACCTGGAAGTTGGTTCATGGTTTCGTTCGCATTTATCGACTAAGGTGAACCCGTAATAGTTGCAAGCATACTTAGTGACGAACCTAACAGTAACACATGTCCCAACCACCTCAATTGATGAAGTTGCATTGCATTGCATACTTGATTGTTCCAGGATACACCTTTGATCGAAAACTGGAACATCCATCATGTGGTTCAAAGCAGTCAGACGGAAATCTTGAGTCTAAGTGTCTTGTTAGTAAGCCTAACCTTGACCTAGGTGGAAGCTGATCACCCTTAGTGGAAGTTGAACCAGTGCCACTCTATATAGGTTAATACTCAGTGACCAACCAGCCAAATCATGTCATTCCAGTAGGAGGTCAATCGAGGCCACAATAGTTTGATAAAATAGCTCATACTGTCAAACCAATTGACCGAAATACGTAAACAGTATCAATTCCTTCCAGCGTGTAAGGTACACCTTGCCAACTTGTATTCAAAAGTACCAGTGAGAATCAAACCATCGTTTAGTGTTGTAGATACACAGTACTGAGGAATCTTATACTGGAATGAGACAGCCGTTCAGTGCTTTCTGCTTTTCAAAGGTGGTTTACCTATGATCAACTGAGAAAATAATACAATCTCCACAAATCTTCTTTACTGATACAGAGGTATTGTAGTGAACGAGAACACAGGTGGGGCAACCGGATTGTATTTAGCGAAAATTACAGAGTTACTCAGTAAAATTGGAAAACCATATCGTAAATCGTTAATTTGCAAATTATCAGTCCATCCTATCGAACTGGACTGTTCCTGTTGCAAAAAAACATCAATCCATTGTCACTATTCATGCGTTTAATAAAAATTCCGTTGTGTTCTAACTCTTCCTTTCTTGATCTTCCCCTATCTTCTCTTCTGCCAGACATTACGTTGACACTCACGTCATATACTACTTATAAGTAGCTCACAACACAGTATGTCAATCTTAACGACTATGCTTAGTATCATTTTTACTATCACACTTTTAAATCATCTGATTTTGTGAAACCTGGATTTATAATAAAATTGTCGGTTATTTATTAAACAGTTAATGTGAAACCTTTAAATAAATTAACGAATATGGTGTCTGCTTCAAATGTCGTTGTTATGTCTATGTACGAATTCCGCGCGTGTTACGGAAATCACCCAACTGGATCACATGGCAAGTCATAACTTGGAACCCTTAGAGGAAAATAAATAGATCAAGGAACAAACTATGAAGAGAATTGGAAACAGACATGAAAAGAATAAACAGAGATTGGGTAGAAGTCGTTCTATAAATCAGTGTTATGTAATTGAAGATAATAGGCAGTAAGAACTCTAAGCTTAAAGTTCCTAGTAATTTAGACTCATCAATAAAAGGATTACCTGAGTAAGCAATGCTGCCATTAGGAAGCGAGTACTGGATAAATATGGCAGATCAATAGATGAAGTGGTGAAACTTCATCAGTTGAGGTGGTTGGGACATGTGTTACGAATGCCCAACCACTGACTGCCTCGACGAGTTATGTTTTGTGGTGTAGGAGTAGGTTGGAAGAAAGTTAGGGGCGGCCAAACCAAAACATGGCACAAATCAATGACAAGTGAACTGAGTCATGTCAGGAAAACACACAAGCACTGGACAGTCATTTCGTCACACTGTGGGACTCTTCAGCAGTGCGCACTCACGACACCCGACCGCGGGAATTGAACCCATGGTCTTGGATAGTTAATGCTTAGACCCAACAAGGTGGAACTCGTTTGGTCAATAACTAGGATCGGTTGAATTTATGAATCACACAAGTTGTTCACTTCGTAATTGGACTACGACACACTTTGAATGCCTAAACTGAATCAGGTTGTTTTTTTAGAGAAAATCCCCAACGACTGACAAACAAGTCCAACCCAGAAGGTAGTGAAGTAACGTAAGGAGATGCAGTTCCAAAGTCATCCACAATAGCTTAATGTGACATTTATTCCGTAAGAATCGTGGAATCCATGTGAACTATTGGTTTGGAATGAGGGTTTTTTTAAAACCGACCAACGCGCTTTAGACTTATCGTAAACAATACCCTGGTCACGAGAGGACAGTGAGTGGAATTCCCCTTGCAGTGGCTATATATGCGTTGCTATATGACAGCGTTTCAAGAGGGAGAGTGTTGAAGACGTTATACTCCCAGAACTCACTTAGAAAAGGTCCTTATTTTGTAATATTATTCTGAAATTTTCAATTTTATGCTTTCGCGCCATACACGCTTATTTGACCTTCAGCCTACATTTACCACTTGGGAAATACTTGACTGTCTTTAGTGGATGGATTATTTCAGTACGCTATATTTCGGCTCTCACCAAGGGCGTTTTATCGTTGTATAAATAAGCTTAAGATGTGTACCTAAGGACCTCGTACTTTCTGGGTGCTTGTGGAATACATTTCTCTCCGTCTTATCAAGGCTTCTTCCTCTAGTTAGTGGGGCCTAGGACAATCGGATTAGAGTAGCCTATCGTGTCACTGAATCATCAATTTTGTTCCGTTTACTACGAGTAAGCTGAACTCGTAATAGCTCAAGCATAACTGAGGGTGGACTCTCCTTACTCCTCGTCCGTACTAGGGTAATTAGGTGCATATATAGGAAAAAGATATATCCGACTGATAAGTCCTCCATATTGTATGAAACTAATGTTCTACAAACGTTACTATTCACCACACACACAATATACTATAGCACCACAACTAATCAACAAAAACCTCTGGACTTCTATATTCCGGAGGTTGCGGGTTTGAGTCCCAACCGGGATGCTATCAACTCCACCTGGAGCCCCTTTGGGGCTAGTCGGTCTCAAGCCCGGATAAAGGAGAGTCGGACATCAGGTTTCCGACTTCATCTCGTAGAAACCTAACTTGCTAATAAAACGCTAACTCAATGACAGTTTAATTGATTTTTTTCAAAAATTACTGATAAAAATTCTTTCTATACAGGAAAAAAATCATTGTCATCACAATCATCATCATCATCATCATCATCATCATCATCATCATCATCATTATGATGATGATGATGATGATTCATTATGGTTATGACTCATCGCCTCTTTTGTTTTAATCGATTCGCTTTTTTCAATTGTTCAATTTTAGCATATTTTGTTTTAATTGGTTGTTCATAACGATTAATCTCTTGTTCATCAGCATCAGCGTCATCATCATTATCATCGTGAACATTTTCAGCGTTATTTTCATTATCATGATCATTGTTGGCACTAGTTGTGTCATTATTCAATGTGTTAATACCCCAACCGATTGTTTGAGATGCACGCTGTAATTCTTCCGATTCAATTTTCGATTTCTTTTGAAGTTTATACATTTTCGCCATAGATTTCCATGTTCTACGTGCAGCGTTAATACCAGCTTGACCAGATGTTTCTAATAGGGTATTAGTTGTAGTAGTAGCAGCAGTGGGATGGGATTTCTTCGACGATTCATCATTTGAGGAGGATGAACCAGAGATAGATGAATTATCAGTACTATACTCATCGTCGTCGTCATCATCATCAGAATTAGCATAGGCTTCAATGAATTCTTCTTCATCGATCATCGGATCTAGATCGGTTAGGTTATTATTATTACTGTCCAGATGATGACGACGATGATGATGGCTTTCAAGCTGAGATCGAATAGTCTGAAATGTGAAAAAAATATTTAACAAAACGATGACATATTGATCAAAAAAATTTACTAACTAGTGAGTGACTAGCTTCGTCAGGGTATTCTCAGGGTTCCAATGAGGAGAAGCTGTGTGACCAGTGGAGTTGTTCAACCTTGTCAGATATAGGCAGTTATCTACCGAAGACAATGGGTGAGGTTGTTCAATACCCTTGAATCGATTCAAGTTAGACATTGACACCGTTGGATGCCACTGGCTTAATGGTCTAGATGTTAGGCGTTTGCACGTGCGAGACCGAAGGTGCTGGGTTTGATTCGGGCGAGCGGGAGCCGTGAATGAGCACTGTCACTGAGGAATCCTATACTAGGATGAAATGGCCGTCCAGTGCTTCCCGGTTTATAATAGTTGTCTAGTGATGCTCGATTCATAATCGATAACGTCATAACAAAGTAGGTATGGGTGTAGGTTACGAAAACTTGAAACTTAATTACTGGAAAACCGACTACTTTAACACTATTCTATAAACTACTGCCCTGTCAAATTATTCTATCACTAGACTGGACAAATGATTGATCCTTGAGTGGTGGCCCATATTAATGTTTAACTAATTCTGCCTAGTATCAGATTGAATCTTATCGACCGACATTGGTAATGTAGTTGTTACCAGTTTCAGTGACTCAATAACCATGTGCACTAACTTTTTTGATGTTAGGTAACAGTTGGGGGTAGTAGATCTAGATTCTTTCATGATTGTAAGGAGTTTGCTAATTGGTTCTGTGTCAGAACTACATACCAAATATACTGAGTTGTTGTGTATCGATCCTAAATTCTCTTTGGAATTTGATACTTTTCAGGTAGTCTTGTATTCTCTGTCTCGTAATATCATGTGAAATGTTAACCTTGAAGC